AAGTTTGGGTTATTTCCAGCAAGCTGAATTTTTAAATCAGTCTTTTTGTAGCATACCATTCCTCTTCTAAGAACTCAAGGAACAGTGCTTCTTGGCAAATAGGAATTTACTTAAATATGGGTTTCCCTTTTCACAATCCAGCATCTTTTATTCCGTATTGTACTGACACCACTATATTGGATCTGTGACACTATACTATTTTTTTATGGAAAAAGCTTCTCATCTAGGATGATAAAATGTCACCACTTTCGTAACGGGGGGGAAGGGGAACTACAGGTTCACTGTAAGATAAAAAGCTGGCTATCTGGGAGATAAAGCTTCTATAATAATATACAAATTCATTTTTCTTTCAAAAAGAAATGGAAAAATACTAGCTAATAAAATGAACTTTTCTACAGCTTATTTTTATTTCAAGTCTGGTATAGTGTACCAGTCTTTTTTTAAAGGATAGAGGCTACCTTGACACAGTCTTGGAAGCTGAGAGAAAAGTCTAACAGTACAAATTGTTCATTGAGTCTCATTGCAAGGGTGGAAAAGGAGGGAGAATTATGTAGTTTTAATTCAAGATATACAGTAAAACCAAGACACAAGGTGCTTGTCTAAATAGCTTTAAATGTGTACTGTATATCTATTTCAATAACTGTGAAAACAAACAGAAGATTACAGGGATAAGATTCACTGCAGCAAGTGTAGGGAAATGTACAAGGCAGTAAGGAAAGCTTTTATAGTGGAACAGTTAAATCTAGTTAATTGTGTTGAGTTTGTTTTCATAATTACTAGCATTGTTCTACTGAACTCTTGCTGAATGTCCTACATAGTTGAGCTGTCATGCCACAATTAAAAAACTTAATGGAAACTGAATGCCAAAGTGATTAGTGGTTTGTTACATGCTATATTTTATTATATGCTGCTGCTCATACTTGTTGATCTGCCTAGCACTTTGCTGAGAAGATAATCCTTGGTTGAAAACACAGCAAACTCTCTGACAAGGTGATACAGTAATAATAGCGTGCACATATGTATAGAAGGCAACCACAGAGACGAAGTTACTTGTTATATTCACTGCTGGCAGGGGAGGTCATTGTTAAGTTTGCATGGGTGGAGAGAGGGATGCAAATGAACTTGTCTGATTTAGGACAATTTTTCATATCCATTGTGATTTGCAAAACAAGCCTTTGAAGGATGGGTAGAGTATTATAATAATATCAGCAGTTATCAAGCATGTGACAGCCATTACATTCTAACCATTCTTTTCAGCTATTCATCAAGTTCAAAATCAGATTCCTTTTGCTTTATATTAACTCAAAGATTGTTCCATTAAAACCCCCCCCCCCACTAAATTTGGAACAAAATCTTTTCTGTTGATTATTTATTTATTTTTTTAAAGTATGCAGTATCAAAAAAGTATAAATGTAATCACTCTGAAAATAATGATAATTTGGACCATTTTGATCTATGAGGATAGAGGAGCCATTTGCAGATGCCTCTCAATAAGTAGTTCAGTCTTCACTAAATTTGAAAAATGCTTGTCAGTTCTCTGCTGGTCTAAATGAGCATACTTCCACTGACTTGTTTGTGATGTTGTGGTTTTTTTGTTTGCTTAATTTTCTTTTTTTAGCAGACCTAAATAGGAATTTATGGACATACGAAAATGGACATATTGATGCTCATACATTTCTTTAATGCAATAAACAAGTACTATTTATGGTTATTTTTTTTCAGTTTTCAAAAATGTAGCTCTTGGTGTTCATCCTTGGGTTATGGCTTGTCCCAGGGGTTGGCAACATTTTTGGCTGGAGTGCCAAAAGCAGCTCAGCCTTGACCCATGTCTCAACTTCACATGCCAGGAGCTGATGGCAGGGGAGCTGCAAAGGGCTGGATCCTCATTGTCGGTCTTGGGTGCACATAGAGGACAATAGGGGAGGGGCTGGGGTTGTGCTTCCCTGACCCCTTTTCCACCATTTGCCCAGAGGTGCACATGCAGCTGCTAGCATGAAGTTGGTGCCGGGGCAGTCCTTCTCTCATGAGATATTCTAGCTTGTTCAGTGGAGAAATACCAACCAGATGCTTAGTCCTAATATGAAATTGTATGGAAAAAAAACATTTAGCATCTTGCAAAAACAAGAGAAGACCTATAACTGGAATAGCAGGGGATTCTGTAGGTCAGGACTGAGGTGTAATGGCAGAGCTATGCAGGAGAAGTGAACATAGTTCTAGCCTGTTCTATTCACAATCCTATCTCTAGCCAGTGTTGTCAACCATTTTTTTTCAAGAGCATCAAATTTATACTCTTTGAATTGGCAAGATGATGGTGTAATCAAAAAATAACTGTCTTTGCTGTTGCTTAATGTACAGTCTTCAAATAAATAATATCTCCATAAATGAATACTCTGGTAAACAAGCTATCCAGTCTGAAAATGTTGCTCTAAACAAAGTATCTTTGTTGCCATTCATGGGCTTGTTTATACAGTTGCTTTCAATGGGTCTGATGGTTTCATATTCTGATATAAACCAAATACTCAGGAGCAGAGTGCCACTGATAGTCATCAGAAAGGAAATTTCCTTTAAAATAATGCATGGCACCTTTGAACACTTCTTAGGATGATCCATCCCAGTTTGGCTCATCTGTTTCAGAATTTTCCAAGGGTCTTCCATTGTGTGAAGAAAGACCCTCTTGAATACTACAGAATGATTTTGCTGTGTTGTTTGGAAGACGACAATCTCATCTAGCCATCAAAAAATATATAGACTGGGTTCTCAGCTGTGCAGTTGTACATGGCATAGGTGTTCAAAGGTGTCCTTTGTGCTTTCTTCTTTTGGAAGCCACTTGGTCTCAGTAGAATCATGCAGAACAGATGGAATATGGATGTGGATCAGCACTTCTAGTATTGCCCAATTCACAGACCATGTTTTCAGGGGTATATAGTAAAAGGGAAATTAGCAGAGATGTAACTAAGATTTCCTTAACCATGAGGGTCAAAATGAATTGATGCCTCCCCAACATTGCTGTTCTCCTGTCCTGCTTTGAAGTCTGGGTGATACCAGTAGCAGCTTGCATGCGTACTGATGTATGCTTATGGCAGCTCACATAAGGTGGGAATTTTCAAAAGTGTTCATCGTTGGCCCTTTCCTCTGGTATTCTGAGAGCACTACAGTTGACATTAGTGGAGATATATTAGTACAGTGATAAGTGTTTTTGTAAATCCCACCTCAGATGGTCAGCTTCCTTGTTGTCGTCTTTTTTTTTTTTTTTTAACATATATGGAATGATGGCAGTGATGTACCATTTTCGTTGAGTGCAGAATTTCTATACTTTCTACCCAGCAGGGAAAGCAGTACTGAATTACACCCTTGATCTATGTCAAGCATGAAATGGATTAGAAGTCAGGTGAATTATCTTTTTCAGATAAGCCTGCAAAGCATTCTTCTTATAATGGTAATACTTTGTGCAATGTGGAAAAGCAGTGGAATTGTCATGTAGGGTCATGGATAGTCACGTTTGGGGTTCATTAAGGATTTAAGAGGCTGAGCAGGGTCAGCTAGACCAAGAAGATTCCAGGAACAAGCTAGGGTGAGAAGGCAGAAGGTCAGTGTGTGGGTTGGGACTAGGGGTAAGTTAAGTTAGGAAGCTGAGGAATCGGACAGAGCACAGAGTCAGAGGGCAAACCAAGTCAGGAGTCCTGACAAGCCAAGAAGATGACCAGGCAGAGTAGGGCTTAGGGGTGAGCCAAGTCAGGAAGCTGAAGAACCAGGCAAAGCATGGAGTCAGGGGACAGGCTGAGTCAAGAAGCCAGGACATCAGACAGAACAGGCCTCAAGGAACAGCAAGGCGGTTCATTAGTGGTTGAGCCTGGTTGCCCAGATGCATCTGTTCTGGGTCAGGGGTTTATATGAGAGGGAGTGAAGTGTCAGCTGGCCCTGGCCAGGCACTCTGGTGATAGGGAGTGGGTAGCTGTTTAGGCCAGGATGGAGGTTTCTGGCCACCTGCACCCAACCCGAATGGTCAGCTAGAGAGTTGACAGATCAACATGAGTGTTTTTTCTGGACAGGCAGAAGTCCCAGGATTGAGATCATGACCTGATAGAAATGTAATCAGTACCTCAAACCAGCAAATAAACCTAAGGATTCTAAAGAAAATATCTCCTGTGTGCTACTATCTCTGCATATAACATTTCCACACATACAGTATGCCCCAGAAAAAAATGTGCACCTTGTTTTTGAAAGGCAGAATGGAGAAAAATCTTTCCTTGTGGTAAGTAATTGAGTAGCAGCAGCTAGGGAGCTGAGCCTGTTCTGCTGTCCATGAGTCTCATGCAGAACTTACTTCTACTTCACCTGGTAGCTGTTCTTGCCATACTTCTCATATAAGTGTGCACTGCAATTTCCAACAGATGTTTTTTGGGTGGAAAGTACATGTTGTATGTGAGGAAATATGGTTGTCTACAGCTTCTACTACAAGTTGCTAGTTCTTCTTTTCATTTTCCTCTGTTAGCCACTGAGCTCTTCTTTCTTCCTTGTAGATATGTACACATCAGCAATCCTTTTAGTGACCACCGTAATTGCTACGCTACCTTTCCTGATTCGGTTTTCTTCACCACCTTGCAGCTAGCCCATCAGTGGACTGCTGTGAGTCCTGCTCTTATTAGACAGAGTTAGACTGACGCGGCCCTCTCATCTGTTCAGAGGGCATTACCCACTTAATGACATAAAGGAAAATGGAATCTTTTTCTGTGCAAAAGGTAGCAAAAAATGTTGCACTCTGAGATGAGCTGAGTGTGCATTTAGCTGATTTGATACATTTTATTGATTTATTCTCTTTTAGGGGACTTCTAAGACTTGTGTTGTTATATTAACAGTGCAGAATGTTGAAATGAGAACTGTTTTGCAATGCCAGCAACCCATTTTCAGTCTCATTCTTTAATTCTGCAGGGGTATGGGGAGCGTCATACTTAATATAGAGGTATAAACTGGTAACCCTGCCATCTTTTCTCTTCAGGGAGTAATATGTTGGAGGCTGTGGACTACATGCTTCCAACATAGGAACAGCACCGGGTTGGGAATCTCCACTTCTGAGAGAATGCTGGGGATCTGCAGAGGGAGACGGAAATTCTTGGCTGCCTCTCTGACTCTCCTTTTCGTTCCAGCCGTAACCTGGATTTACCTGTTTGCTGGGAGTTTTGAAGGTAAGAGGGGTGGAAAAGGCAGATGGGAGCTGCTGAATGATTGGAATGGAAGCTGACATGTGGTAGGATTTCAGATGTCATTAAAAGTTAAATAAAGCTGCTGTTGTCATGTCCTGGAAATGGCTTTCAGTGCATAGCTCTGAAAAGTAGTCCTCACTACCTTCTGACAGATGTAGATGATGGTTTCAATTGTGTTTGTTTTTTTCCCCTTCCTACTTTAGGTGCTTTGAAAAAAATCTGTAAAACTTATTTCTTATTCATTTTCCTCTCTATGCTTTCTGGCATGTCACTGTCTCCTGTGTCTTGGAGGTAGATAAAATAAGATTTAAAAAAAATCATAATAATCTTTTTAGATGTGTCCTTAAATATTTATTTCTTTAGCTTATACAAGTGTTTTAAAAAGGAGAACTCTCCATATGATTTAGATACTCTTGACCTAGCTTAAAAATAAAACAGCAGGAATCTAATATAATTCAATGTTAAATCTTGCCCTCCCGACAGTTCTTTCCCCTTACTGTTAAATTCCATCTCCTGTTTCCTTCTTCTGTTTTCAGAAAATGGTGAGCCTTGTAATGGTCCCTGAGTGTCATCAGGTTCAAGGGTTGGGTGCTGGGGAAGAGTTCAGATTGCAAAGATACGGGGTTCTTACAGCAAGATCTTTGCCAGCAACTGCTTCTTACATCTTCTAATGGGGCTTCAGATTAATCACTTCTGTGATTAATCAGTTGTCAGATTTGTTAGGCCTGGGTGCAGATCCAGGAGGGGGGGAGGGAAAGGGTACAGTAGCACAGTCGCACTCCGCTTCTAGTCCATGCCATGAGACCAGCAGCTGAAGATTTTTTTTTTTTTTTTTTTTTTTTAACTCCCAGATCAGGTAAAAATTCCCTCCCCTCTGTGCCCACTGGCACATCCCCCTCTCCCCTGCCTGCCACTGCTGCTGTCCCTGGGTGGGAAAGCTCAGAATCCTTCCTGCCCCACTCCAGTTGAGTGGCATGAGAGCTGGGCTCAGCCTGAAATGATGGCAGTGGTGGCAGCAGACAGGTTCCTCCCTCCTGCCTGCTGCCTTGGGTCATCCCTGCCAACCCAGAAGTAGGCTCAGGAAGGGGAGACCCTATCCACCTGCCACAACTGCTGCTTTCCCAGGCTGAGGCCGGTTCCCTGTGCAGCTGGGCTGGAGCAGGTCAGGAGTAGCTCTGGAGCTCCCCTGCCCCCAGGACACCTGCAACAGTGGAGACAGTGGTAGTAGAAGGTGGGGGACTGGGAGGGGAGTGCTGCTGCTCCCTCAGTGTGATCTGCCCTTCCTAGTGGGAGGAGGGGGCAAGTGAGAGCAGGGGTTCAGCCATCCCTGAAATGTAGGTCTCCTTTACAAAATCCTGGATCCACCCTCTTAATGTCCTTGGGAACACAACTAAGATCTGATCTTGTTGCATTTTCAGGTGCATTCTTTCATTGTTAAAGGAAGCAGGAAGATCATCCCTCTACTCCCTTCTCTTTTGTTTAGTGTTGTAATAGGAACAGTTGTAAAAACCATGTTTGGGAAGGTCTGCTAAGTAATTCTATATGCAATTACAAATCAACTTCTCAGAAAAGTGTGCAGAGCCACCTACAGAATCTACAGTGGAACTAGACAGTTTTTCAATCTATTTATCAGTGCATGGCAGGTGAAACAAATATTGAACACAGAAAATCAATCTGTATCTTGAGTATCTCAATATATAAAAATCAGTTGAGATGCATTGTTTCTGGGTGGCTCACAGAAGTTTGTGAGTCTCTTTCTGACCTCTCCTGTCTATAGATGAAGATGCTCAATCTAGAATGTACACTGATTTGCCGCTCTATATTGGTGACTTGGAGTAACCAACACCTTTGCCAATTAAATTCTGATAAACAAGGTTCCTGGTATTTGAGGATTTCAACTGTGACATTTCAGTTAGGTGAGAAATATTGTAATATCACCCTTATTTTCAACTACTTGTATCTTAAAAATGGTGGTGGAACATTTTATTCTTAATCAATAGATATTTTTTAAGGTGTAAAGAAAATATGTGTAGTGGCATTTGAGTTCACCTAACATGAGGTGTTGCAGCCACTTAAATATTGCTGAGATATTATTTGAGGTCTGGTGATTCAGAAAGCAGCTTTGTTTTACATTAAGCTTCTTTATTTGTAGTCCTGGATGTGAAATATATGCTTTGCTTGAAAACAAAATTGGATTCAAAGTAAAATAAAGTTAAGAAGAGCTGAATATTCTTCAATATTCATTACCTCACTTTGATTTAATCACATGCCAGGTACATACATGAGTTTATGCAGTTTTATTTGATCCCTAGCAATTCCACCATAATGGGTAATCACTATATGAGCTCATTCTGGGATGAAGCTTTTATGGGCTACACAATAAACTGAACATGGAAGGGGCTTGTTGCTTGAAAACTGATGATCTAGGCTGAATAGCCCAAATTTGGTTTAATAGTAGAAGCTGACCAGATTTGCATCATCATTTTTAGATGAAAATTACAATTACAACATTATTAGTAAAGGTTTCCCTTTTTAAAGGGTTTATAAATGATTAATAGATATTATAAACGTGTTGTGGGTATTAGAGGTATGTGTTATAGCTGTAAGTACATCACCAAGATGATGCTACAAATGGTTATAAGTTATGCTTATAAATAAATTATTGAACATTTTAAATATTTTATTTTTAGAACATCTTGTTTTCTGGTGTTTCTCATTTTGGATTTGTCTGGCTTCAGATATCAGCCATTGGGTCTTGTTACGCCTTTCTCCACTAGATTAAAGAGTCCTTAATACCACCTGGTATTTTCTTCTTATGAAGGTCCTTATACACTTTAATCAGCTCTCAATCTTGTTTTTGCTAAGCTGAACAGATTGAGCTCTCACATGCTCTCTCTTTAGTCTTCCAGCCATTTTTGTAAGTATTTTGTAGCCTTTCCAGTTTTGTGTACTTTTTAAAATATGGTCATCAGAATTGCTTTCATTTATTTCTATACTGGTCTTATCAGTTCTGTAAATAGCAGTAAAAAGACCTCCTTTTTCCTACTTGTGACTGGATGTTTATACATCCAAGCATTATAGTAGCCCTTTGCACTATTTTCCATCTGTATAAACTGTTTATTAATGGGAGCTCAATTTAAAGCATGTCTAACATGATTACATTTTACCTGTCCATTTCCTATGTCCTGTTTTTCAAGTTCTGCAGTAGGCAATTCCCTGTTTTGTTCTGTTTTTTTGTCAAGAGGTACCTAGCAACTTATTGCTTCATAACCTTTTAAACAGCAGATGAGGACTGAGCTTCTACTCTTGGAATATTTGTTAGAGGGGAGCACTACTCAAGTTAACACTTTACTGTAATTTAACACACATACTTTATGTATGAACCAGTGTACTGAAGAGCATTCTGAATACTGCATAGTCTTTGAATTGGTCTGATTGCTGTAGTTGTTTTTAACACGGCATACAAGAGCCAATTAGGTGTCTTTTTTAATGAAAAACGAATTGTTTAACAAACTTAAATGTCTTCGAAAATGCGTAAGGGAGTATCAGGTGTTTGAAATAGAAGAGGGGAAATTATGAAATAACAGGGGTGCACCGATAGAAATTTTGGGGGGCTGATACCAACAGCCAGTTATTAATGAGGCATTGGCTGATGCTGATCCGATTTTTGCTACAGCTGCGTGCAGCAGATAAGTTTGTTGTGGTGGAAGGAGACAGAAGAGGCATGGGGGGGGCAGATCAATGCCCCCCATGGTGAGGGAGGCAGTAGGGGTGGGGCTGGGGTAGGCACTGGCAGGGTGGCATGCGGGATGAAGCCGCAGTTTGTCCGGGGGGTGTGGGGAGGGAGAACAGCTCCTGCTGCTATGCACGCCCCTGGAGGGCATGGGGGGAGGGCGTGTGGCCTGGGTCTGGGCAGGGTGAGCTGTAGCTGGGGCTAGGGGCCGTGCTGGGCTCTTCCTGGCAAGGGACCTGGGCTGTGCTGCTCTTGGGGTAGGCAGTGGCAGCGCTGGTAGGGAGGTTATGGGGGGCCTGCAGCCACCCCAAACTTTGCCATAGCCCCTCCTGGCCCCAGCCTGAAGCTGCATCCTGCCCTGCCCTGCGCAGATCCAGGGGTGCATGCCCTGCTGTGCCCTCTGTGAGTGTGCTGAGTGGCAGGAACTGCTCCCCTGCCCCATATTCCCTGGGATAAGCCCTGGCTTCACCCCAGCTGGGCAGTGCCTACCTCAGCCCTACTCCCTCCCTCACAACGGGGGGTGTTTATCTGCCCCCCTCATGCCCCTTACCTCCCCCCTCCCCTTCCATCACAACAGACTTACCAGCTGTATGCAGCTCTCCACGCTGCCAGACTGTGCTCCTCACTACCTACATGCTGCGCTGCTGCAGCGCACACACAGGGGCATTTATCAGCCACAACAGGCTGATTTTCTAATATAGTCAATTTTCTTTATATCAGTGCTGAACCAATATCGAACTGATGTCTTGGTGCTCCTCTATTAAATAAATAATGATGCAGTGATATATTGTAACTGCTTATAACGATTAAAATCAGTGGCACAACAAGCTGAGTTGGCACATAGGGCAAACATTGTGGGAGAGCAGAGGTGGTGGGAAGGGATGGGGTTCTGAGAGCAGGGGTAGGGGGTGCAGGATTTCTGAAAACAGGAAATTGGGGTTGCAGGTTCTGGGGTTGGTGGGGCAGGGGGAAGGTTGGCACACAGCAGCATTACCTATGCTAGGAACTTCTAAACAGTCCCAGCTGAACTTCTGGTGCTGTGCATGCTCTGCCCACCCTGGTTGTTGCTCTTAAAACAACAGAAGCTGGGAAGTGTTTCAGAGTTTCCAGTCTGGCAATGCTGCCAGGATGTGGACTTTGTGGGTGCCCCTGCCACACACCTATAGTTAAACTACTGATTAAATTAACTAATTCTTTGGTATATAAACTCAGCAGAGAGCACCCAAGGCAGTCCCATGGATTGTAACAT